TTGTGAAATAGGACGTCTAACTATGAGCACAACAAAAAGTGTCCAGCAACCTTGGTCTGGTAATGAACTAAAATGCATTTATTTATTATTCATGTGAACAGGCACCACAAGTGTTGTTAAAGAAGGTGATTTGCATCCACAAGTTGTGAAATTATTTGAAAAACAAAAGAAAACAACTTTGAGCAAAACCTTTGAGAAACTGCTGGTGTCTTCTCAGCAGGCCGTGCACTGTGAATATCAGAAAAGAAAGAAACAGCTCCTTAAATATTTAAAAGAAAATAACTACATCACATCATGAACTTTAAACCCTTTGCATGGTCAAATAGACACATTATTCTTCACAGCAGAGAGGTTTTCATTAAACACTGACTGTGTGTCTTTCTGTGTGGTGTTTCCATTTTCTCTTCATGACTTCACTGAAATTATTAAAATAATCTGCCTTCCGAGGTTAATTAGGGCTCTAATGTGATTTTAGGAGTACATGTGAGCATGTGTGTWTATATCGTGAAGCTCTGTTTTGGTCTTGTGATCGTGAGGTCCAGTCTATGGCTCAGTACCTCCACTTTCTTGCAAACCTAAATTTGAAATTAAATGTCATTTATAAATTTAGTCGTTTTCATAGATCTCAGAAAAATGTAATTAACCCACAGAAACTGATGCAGAAAATGAAAAAAAAAAGTTGTGCAAATAACAGAAAATATTTTTATTTTTCATCGAATCGACCCACAAATAAACTTGTTTTTAGAATTCACACAACACGGTGACGTTTCCGTATCACAGTCTGCTTTTTTATGCTTTGTCAGCTTACCAAAGTGATAATAACACTTACTCACACACTTTGTCTTACCGAAATAAACAAAATATTAAACATTTCATGTGAACTTCAAGTTATCATTGTGCTAAACTCGTCACATAAAGCTGACATGACAGACATAAATATCGTGTCATTTTTTTTTTGTGGGTGATCCAATAAAAATGTTTCACATTATCCTGTAATCCAGACCCTGCAGAAGCATTGCCCCTTCCTGATGGGCCCCATTGAGAGCCTGAGAGACTTCATCTCTCCCGAAGCTGACATCCAGGTAAACACAGCTGTTATACATAGAACTGCACTCCAGATAGGTCACTGTGTGTTGATGTTCCACTGAAGAATAAAAGTGCACCGATCCAAGTGTGCCGTTCATTTAATTTCRAACATCTTGTTCGGAACTTAAATGAAGTAAGCTGAAAATAATATGATGCAAAGTGCAAAACGTGAAAAAAAAATTTGAGTTTGAGATCCTTGGGACGAACAAGATCTTTTTAAGCTCCTCTGTACCCACCAAACTGAATTCCTAATCTCCCTCCGGAGCAATCTGTGTGACTRTGACTCATGAACTCTCCATCCCCTTACTTACGTCTGGCCTCTGAGTGAGGCATGACAGCCGTGCCACAGCCTGGGCCAGGATAACCCCAAAGACGTCAGCAGCCCTCTCATGCCTCCGTGAGAGGGAGACTGATTAGGGCTGCAGCTTTTGCTCTTTGAACCACATCAGTGAACCACATTCTGCTCAGACAGTCCAATCATGAACACAACCAGAGAAAGGGCAAGATCAAAAGTTCTGTGTAGAGACAAAGACCCCGAAGTGATTTAGTGGTACTCTTTTTTACACTTAGTWTCCCTTTTTCCTGCCATAAGAAAGTAAATTAAACATTGCACTTGAAACAATAAGGCAAAAGGGTGGACCATAACATAAACACAGAAACTAAATAGGTTCTTATCGGTTTAATCAGAGGATAATTTGTACAAAATACTTCCTGTGAGCATTTTGCATTTTCAGTTCCACTGGGACTTCGAAKCTCATATTGTAGCCCAGATTTTCTTAATTATTTATGATCCTGCAGGTGACCCTGACCATTTTTGAGCTGGCTTCTGCAGCAGGGCTAAAATGTGATATCGATCCTGACCTTGTAGCAGCTATTGGCAACATGAAGACAGGTAACACTTGGACTATTTGTGGCCCTCGAAAAACAAAACATGCAGACCGTGCAGTATCGAAGAGAAAATGTGTTTTGACACTAATTATCCCATGAACAACCCTGCAGATAACACATCGGTGGAAGAGGAGTTCAAGCTCTCTCGTTTGCTGCTCGTCTACATCGCCGTGTCGCTGCCGTCCCTGGCTCTGGATGCGAACTCCTACTACAGCCGAGAGCATGGAGGTGCATAATCTGTCGCTCATTTCAGCTACAGACTCCGCTTGACAGTAATTACTCTCCAGACAGCTCCCAACTAAACTCTAATCAGTTGTTCCTCCAGCCATTATTWACCAGCTGCTGATAGTGTGTATAAAAAGGCACTCCGCCCTGAAACACTAGCATCATACTTTCCAGTCTGACATGGTCCGAAAGCAAAGCATGTTGGCTAATAAGAAACACGTTTAGGTTGCGAGACTCTTGTTTACAGATAACTCTGGCTGACGTGCATCAATACGGYTACTTTTGGCACATGGCCCCGCTGACCCTCACAGCTTTGGCTTTGAGCCTAGACCGAAACATTAAGAGCAGCAAATGGCCAAGATTTTTATCAGCGCACAAAGTGGCATTTGTCTCTGATTTATTTTCATTTGCCTGTATTTTCCATTGACATATTTGAAACAAATTAACGCTGTGAGCCTGAGGAAATATGCCCAGCATGCTTCCTCTTGAGTGTTACACATCATTAAGTAAATTTCTCCAATTGCCCCGGCCACAAAAACATCCTCTCTGCTGCTTGAACACATGCTTTTCCACAGTAATTTCCAGTGAATTAAAAAAATAATTAAATAAATCCTACTTTTTTATATATATATTTATTTTCAGGTCACAAGAACAACATCCACTGTTTAGCTGCAGCCATCAACCAGCTGGCTGCTGCCATGTTYACCATTCAGAACCAGAATATAGAGCAGCAGCTTAAAGAGTTTCTCCTGGTGAGTAGAGCAAACACTTTCTTACAGAAAATAGATTAACATTTGTAAAAATGAGACAAAATGGAGTTTGTTATGACAGAAATATTTTTTACCAACAAAAAACTATTTTATGCAACTGCCTGCCTTAAAACTGATCCAGGTAAAAGACCTTTAAAGGGATCCACGATTAGTTGTAACATTAAATTTWATTTGATAAACATTTATTTTAACTGTAAAATAAAGACTGTAAAAATACTGTAGGCTGTTAAGTTTTGTAAAATTTTAAAAATATATTTTAACATGGACGGAGCCATTTTATTTACACGCAAAGCATTCTGGGTAACTGATGACATCAACTAGGTCATCGGTGTGAGGCTGCTAGCGAGCTATATCCACCCTGAAGGTTAATCTTGGACAATATCTGATGATCGACTCTTTTAAATGAAACCAGAGAGCGTTGACAGAGAGGAGAAGGTAGAAATGACTCAGCCTGTAACTGAAAATATGGATGGAGGACAACAGAGCTGCTTCATGGAAGAAGAACCTCAGCTTAACCTGTTAGCCTTTGTGCCAGCCCTCACACTATATTGCCTTATATGTATTAGCTCAGCTCTAGCACGACAAACAAGCTAAACTGAGGTCCTCCATCCATATTCTCAGCTGCAGCTGAGTCATTTTTGTGTTCCCCTCTCTGTCATGTGGATGGAGGACCAGTGACGAGAGGAGAATGTGTAGCACTGAGCTAATACATATACAGTATATGGTGATAACATCGGGGCTTACTCTAAAGCTAACAGGCTAAGCTGAGGTTCTTCTTCCATGAAGCAGCTCTGTTGTCCTCCATCTATATTTTCAGTTCCAGGCTGAGTCATTTCTACCTTCTCCTCTCTGTCAACGCTCTCTGGTTTCATTTAAAAGAGTCAATCATCAGATATTGTCCAAGATTAACCTTCAGGGTGGATATAGCTCGCTAGCAGCCTCGTGCCAATGACCTAGTTGACATCATCATTTACCCAGAATGCTTTGCATGTAAATAAAATGGCCCCATCCGTGTAATATATTTTTAAACTTTTAATTTAAAAGTGATAAAAACTGAACATTCTATAGTATTTTTATAGTCTTTATTTTACAGTTAAAGTATATGTTTATCATATAAAGTCTAATGTTACAACTAATCGGGGATGCCTTTAAGAGGAGAACATGACTCAATGGTTCAGAAATTCAAACCAGAAATTCAAACGAACCTTTAAGTGTGTCAAGAGACGAACGGTGGCCAAAGTTGAAATAATTTCTCAGGACACTGCCAACCTTCTGGCCCAGTCGAGGTCACAACCAGCATCATGAAAGCATTCCTCTCGTTTGATTTGTCTTGTTTTAACTTCATATCATTCCACAGCTGGCCTCCTCCACCCTGCTTCAGCTGGGCCAGAGTGCCGAAAGAGGAGAGGTCAAAAACCGAGAGTCCATCTACCTGCTCCTACACATGGTAGGCTTACCAGTATAACCAAAATAATTCACCTTGCAGGTACATGCAGTTTTGTGCAGGTTATTGTTTGACTTATGAACTGTTTCTGAACAACCCAGGGAATCTCATGTTTAATTAATAGTAAATTCATAAGGGAATTTTAAGTTTATAAAATTGGTTCCAACATTTTAATGTAAATGTCATTTAGGTACATATTTGAGTCAGAAGATGTATTTGTACATGTAACCAGACCATAGCTTCAATCTTAATGCTTTTCCACAGTCATCCAGAAGAAATGTTTTCTCATCATAGTGCAACGAGCCTGATTGAAGCTCACGTTGCTCTGATTAAATAAAAATAAATGTGCTTYGTATCAAGTCACTTCATTTTCTACTGTCCCAGTGGTAAATAAAACAAAACAAAAATCCAGACCAAATTTGCATTTCCTGCATTTTGTTATTTAAAATATGCTACAGTCTCTTTGCTTTAAATATTTGCATTATAGATGCAAATACACTGTTTTACAGAATTTAAACTATTAATCAATTCTGAGAACAGCAWATGTAAATGATTTATGCTCTTTTGATACTGATTTATTCAGATTGTGGAGGAGTCTCCTTTCCTGAGCCAAGACATGCTGGAGAGCTGCTTCCCGTACGTTCTCCTCCGAAACGCCTACAGGGAGGTGCACAAGGTCTTTGTTGTCACTATGGGCTGAGGACTTTTCTAAAATAAAAAAAATAACAAATAAAAAATAAACTGTGTGTCACTGAACTAAAAGAAATGTTATTGCACGTTTTGTTTTCATTTCAATTCATCTTTGTATTCACACCAGTCTCCCCACAGGCTAATAATGGACTTGGGTCATTTGATGTGTTATTTCCTGGGAGTAATAATGTTTTACTTATAATGGATTTTCATCAGCTGTGGTGTTACTAATGTTGTCAAACTCATTTCAATCAGCAGCAAAGATAAATTGTTTCATTTTGTATTATTWGCACCCGCAGGGCTGGGATTTAAAGAAAACACATTTTGGTAAAATATGTATAAAAAATAAATCTTCACTTTTGATGTGAACTCAACATGTCCTCCCTGTCATTTTCACATTAATCCTCCACCGTTCCTTTCCTCTTCTCTGCAGGAAAGAAAATCTTGTCATTGTTTCATGCACAATTTAGATGAAGCACTCTAGTTCTGGAGAAGCAAAAGTGCTTGTTGCTAATTTTAGGCAACCTTTTTTGCGATTATCTTTAGCAACCAGCTCTATTTTTTTTCTTTCTTTTTTATGTAATTTTTTTTCTTTCTCTGCTGTCTCCTCCCCTCCCATTCAGCCAGCGCTGCAGCTGCTGAGTATGCACTCAGTTGCCACACTGGAGATGCATACATCCATCTCTGCGGAGCCTGTGTGTGTGTGTGCGTGCAGGTTCAGTGTTTCTATGTCTCAGCCTGATCCTCCACTGGAAGGCTCAAGAGGTTGAATTCCCACTGCAGGGAACATTGACACGAAGGCAGACGAGCCTGTACGAAAAAAACAAATGCAGCCCGTTACAAAATTACAACGCAAAACCACAAGCAGAGTTGCCACAGCGCTGAGCGACTGCTTGTGGTAGAGATTTGAAAAATATGGTTGAAGTAACTGAGCACACTAAAAATCAAGACCTTGTGAAACATTTAAGAGCGATTTCCCATCAAAACACACGCAGACCCATCTTTCATGTTTGCACATCTTCTTGTTTTTGTACCCAGGGAGTGGTGTCGTTTCAGCGGGGAGGTTTGCTCGTTTATGTTTCATCATTCCTCCCATCAAACACTTGAAAGCCTTGCAAGCTGCCCCTTTATGAGASCCCTAATGCCCCCTTTTTTTCAATTCTTGTTCTTTTGAGGATTTGAAGGAATTTTTACCCTTTCCACCCTAAACGGTCTCATTGTTAGTCTGGTTTTAGGCGGGTATTTATGCAGGAAACACATAATTTTAATCAAATTATAAACATTTGTTTGATTCAGATTTATTAGTGAAAAGAACGAAGTATATTTTAACTAAAGTATAAAATAAGAGTTAAGTAAAGGCAGAACAATTCATTTAGCTGGTACAAATGWTCTTTTAGAACCTCAACGTTTGTTGGCACCACTGAAAAAAACACTTAATTCTTAGAAATTTATACAAGCCTGAGGTTTGAAGTCTGTGCGGCCAAGTCTTGGGATTAAAATTATGTTTTATAATCCATAAATCAGTCTTTTGCAATTTAACTCCAGTAAATCCTGGTCAGCTTGCAATATACTCCTTTTGTCCAAACAGCAGAAAAAAAGTCTAGAAAGAAATTGAAATAGAACAAGAAACTGGTCGTCCAGTGAATGAGGTCAGCTGACCACGTTCTAGCTTTAAATGTTTCTGAATTTAGACATGACCGACTGAAGCAGCTTACTGATGCAGAAGCAAAAAGATTCATAAAGGAATTATTTGACAGAAGCAGAAAAATATATATTTTTTGTACCTTTTGCACATTTAAGCTTTGCATGCGATTGAACTCAGCTTCTCCTCTCCTGCTCCGAGACCCAGAGGGACTGCTAATGATGGAAACTCTGGTCCCAGTATACAGACTCTCTGCTGATGGTGTTGGTGACACAGAGCCTCTTCTGTTGAGTTGTTATGCACTAAGCACACTCACACTCATGCACACCTTCACACATACACAAATACACAGAGGAGGGCTGTGTGTGAGTGTTAAAAGCATTGAAAAACATCATCAACATGCACACATAACTCACACGTTGAATTTACATGAAAACACAAAGGCATAAACTCGCTTTATTTTTTCTCTGCAACACCGACTGACACAAACACACACATGCACACGATCCGGATCGGTGCTGCAGACAGGGAGCCATGACGCCAACRTGTAAGATACACAGAAGAGCTGATAGAAATCTGAGTCTTGTGACATGGGCAACCACCCTGGAACGGTAAGACATTGTTTTTATTACTCTGCATTGAATACGTGAAATCCAATTTAATCGTACAGAATCTGAGAAAGATCACATTTGTTACGACAGGGTACATTTTGTTATTTTGGATTTTATATTTCAGATGCTAAGATGGCAACTGTTTGATTATTTCCGCACTCATGCATTGCAATGCTTGTGATTAGCTGTGGCGGCCATCTTGAGTTGGGTTGGCCCCAAAAGTTAATCAGTTGTAGATGTACAACCAATAAATCATTTCTGAGCRTTTCATTAAACTTTGTGTTCGGGGATTTATGCAAACATGCACACAAAACATTTTTTTCCTCTTTTATTATTTTTATACTTGATTCAGAAGAGTAAAAATGAGTTTCTGCCCCCCCCCCCCCAAAAAAAAAAAAAAAGAAAACCCTCTCGCATTTAGTTCATGCAGGGACACAACATTTAGTTTAGGATTTATGGTGGCCATAAAGTCAGTTTTTTCCTCCAGAAGTGTGAGGTCAAATGGTGATTGGCTCWGGGCAGTGTGTGGTCAAACAGAGTGTGTGGTTAACATCAGTGGACGGAGAGTGAAATGATAAATGATGAGAAAAATAATCCCAACTTTAGAGTGTAAAACAAAAGGTTGAWAACCCCATAAAGCAACGGCACTCCTGAATTATTTTGTTGTGCTTAACTGTAGGTTTGTTGATGTTTGTTTTCCCCCTCCATRTTGGATTTATTCCCCGAATCGACACAAGGTGGAGAATCAGATGTTGCAATGTTGATTCGCGTCATTTTTACATTACGTTGTGCCATGTCAAAGATCATGGGAGCATGAGAGTCAGTGTGACCCTCCAGGCACAGAAGGAGATGGACAGCAGGCAGGGGTTTTCCCAAGCCACGCAGTTGCATGACTCTCACAACTCTCTATAAATAAAGACTGGCAAAAGATGTAGCATCTAGAGCTGTAAACGTGTTCAACAGCAACTTTTGCCGTGTCCACTGATCTTCTGCTTTCCTGTGATGTCCTTTTATGGGGCCTCCTGGTACCAAAACATCCTTTTTTAGCCATGCGTCCTCTTCTCACTTCTCTCCAAAGAGTTGTGGGATTTTTCATTCGTGTGACAATCAAAGAAGATCTGTGGACTTTGTTGTTGACGAGGTTGTTGTGGATAGCTTTTGAGGGCGACTTTTGTTTGTATATTTTTGGTTTCGGTGCCTCTGGTGGGTTTCAGTGAAAGCCTCCCTGTGTAGTTCTCTGATTTGTGGCTGTGGTGGAAAACTCTCATTTGGGATTTGGAAACTCATGGCTTGAAAGCCTTGCAGTCAACACTTCATCCGCCAGTGAGGTCAACTCTCTCACACTTCATACAACGACTGTATACAGACACACAAACACTCACAGAAAAAGAAGGAGAAAAAAAAAAAGGCTGCAGCTCTGTCTCACTTTCACACACACACATGTGTTTGTGCACACTCTGACACAGTTTGGGTCTCAGTAACCAATCAGAGAGAAGTGGAGTAAGTCCCTCCAGAAGTGGGTGGGAGAGTTGCTGAAAGTGTCTCAGGACACATAAAGTTTGCGTTGGTGGTTTGGAGAASTTTTCAGCTTACTACTGCTCTGAAATATATGTATATATTTTCTTTTTCATCATCTTACTTTTCTTTTTAAACTGAACTCTGGGGTCCATCCGAGCACAGCTTGAGTGTGGGATGGCTGAACTGGTGCGAATCCGCAAGAAAAAGCTGCAGATACCAATCTCTAGGTAAGATGTAGGGTTGGATTACATTTAGTTGAACACACTTTAATCCTCTTCGTGACTGCATTCATAAAACTGAAGGATTTTATTTATTTATTTGTATTAAGCTGCTACCTTTTTAGGGGGTTTTCTAGCTCTTTATAAGTGGAAATATGTGACTCAAAAATACACAGCCGATGGTTTCATAGATAACCATCAAAGTATAGAACAAGAAAAAAAATGCCACCATAGTAAAATATTGTTGACGCCTTGCTGAAAATTGCTGTAGATTTGCAAAACAACCTTTCCTCTTGTCACTGCCAGTTCTAGCTCAAACACTTGCACATGCTTTTTTGCTCTGGGAGGGAAACTTGTTGCAGAGGTGGAGGGTCATGTGGTTTTGTTTTCGTTAACACACTGATGTGTCAGGGTATGCAGGCGCCACAACTTTACTACGAATTTCCTCGGTTTACTTAAAACTATAGTCGGCARGTTTTAGGAGATTGCAAAATCTAAACCTTTTGCTTTGATGTGAGATTTGATTTGAACTGAAGGAAATCTTTTTTTTTTTTTTTGCACAAGATTGAGAAAAAGGAACCATTTGCTGACTAAGCTGAAATCTTTTTGTCTTTTTTAATGTGGAGCAGATAAGTATTTAGAACAGATGACACTACGCAGAGTAGAAATTCAACAACATTTGTGCCAAAGGAAGGTTTGTTTTATTTTTGTGTAAACAAAGTTTCACGAGTGCTGCACGACAAGTGATGTAAATATCCTGTCGGACGCCTTTTAATTAAAACAAACAAAAAAATGACTCCTTTATCATAAAAGCTTACTTGGCGTTGAAAGTGAGCCATGRCATTCAGTGGTTTGCTATTTTTATGACTCAACAGCTTTTGAAAGCATTCGCCAGTGTGATAAACACTTGGAAAAGCTGTGACCATCTCATCTCCGGGAGTTGGCTCCGTGCATTTGGCCTTGTGCAGTTTGAGCACAATATGGGTTGTTTATCAAAATAATTTAGAACAAAAAAGAATTCATATGTGGCCCAAAGGTATTATTATATCAAAAATAATTGCTTTTGAACAGGCAGAAAAAAACAATTGAATCAAACTGGAGAGATCCCAGTTCTCAGAAAGGAGGCTGTTCATCATGGCCGACTTGGACGAACTCCTGAGATAAATAACATCAGCTCACAGGAGGTGGCTCTGATACCGCAACCATTTGCTTTTTATTAAACTACAGGAGATAAACTTTTTTTTCCTATTCGTTCTCTGTCATAACCAGATTAAATGTTTCAACATCAAGTAAGAGCAACATGTTCTCAAAGCACTGAAGAGGCATGTTTTTTTTATTGAGTGAGTTTTGACCAAATCTGGTTTACATAACGTCCCAAACATGGAAAGTTTTTTTTTCCTCTCACGGAGAATCTGGCACTAGCAAAGCATATCGCCACTGGCAGTCTTTGGACTTGTTGGCATTTAAACAATTCCCAAATGAATAATTTCTCCTCATGGGGATTTTTCTTTAAACCTGTTGTTAATGTTGCGCTTATCGAATTGTGTTTCACTCATCTCAGGACAGAGATGACTGTTGTAGATCTACGACAAAATGTCTTCATGTTCAAAAAGCAGAGGACAGGACAAAGATAGCAAAAAAATGGTTCATTTTTCTGCTTTTGAATGATGTGCTCTTTTGTTATTTTKTYACAAATTGACATATTTTGGTTAAGACACAGTCTTAAAAATGGATTTTCTTTTTTAAGGCTCAGGAGCATGTTGAAGCAGCTTGAGGAGAAGGATGTTGATTTTGAGGAAATCAAAAAGAATTTGGATTTTACAGCATCGTTGCTGGAGGCAGTTTACCTCGATGGCACACGGTAAGATAATGACACTATAATACGTAATATTGCTTATCTTTTTACGACTGATAAACTCAGCTCAGTGAGAGTAAAAATGTTCTTGCAGAGAACTAAATGGAATTAATCAATCTTATTTTTAATAACTTTTGCTTACTCTCMTTTTTGTTGGCACAAAGTGCACAAACAGTTCACTACTTAGGCCTCCCACAGATCATAAAAGAATGAAAACCTTCAAAAATGCATTGCAACATTAAATTTGGCATTATGAGTTTTTTATCAACACTGTCAACATCCAGTTCAAAACTAGAAACAGCAGCTGAACAAACAATTCATTGTAAAGCTTTGATACAAACGTTTTTGCTCAATTTTCTGACTTTTCCTTCATCTGAAAAACGGCTTTAAATAAACCTATAATTTTCAAAGTGTACTCCAGCGGATAAAATCATGAAAGTGGGACCAGGTGCCAAAATGGGTACAAAGCAGGCTGAAGTAGGTATGATATAATCAGAGTTGAACACCAACATAACGTGCCCAGGCAAGAATACAGCTTTGGAAGCTGATTTTTTTTTAATTGCCTGCTCAAACGTAACCACATGGCATCTGATTGGTTTTTGCAAATATTCAGTTTAGTGAGACTGCATCAAGAAACTCACAATTTTTGTCTTTTTGCAATCACAATTTTGAGTTCCCAACAGTGACACAAGCAGTCGTACCACGAGGAGATACTATCTTCACCTGATGAGCCTGTTACTTTATTTTTAAACAGAAACCACAATCACATCAAGGCTAACCTTAGCCCAATGAGTGTGTGGGAAATAAAAGGTCATTTTACAGAGTTGAAGTCATCTTAACCACAGTGTTCTGCATTAGCTCTGCCTTTCAGCTGAGTTTGCTATRTGCACCTTTTTTACATTCACATGCAGTGCATTCAAACTCCAAGGGAAGCATAGCATGTTGCATATTTCACATTTGTAACAGAGATGATCACAGGTTTCCTTTTTAGAGTAAAATAACACCTGGGTTGGTATTGCCATTACTTGAACTTGAACCTCCAGAGCTTCGCAGTTTAGCGTGGGAGAAAACCTCAAAACTGAACAACAGTTGGTCAGAAGCCATCTGCATCACCTGCAGAAAGTATCAGGCTTCATAAAAAAAGCAGCAAATATTAGAAAGGAGTGGCTGAATGGTTAGTGTGCAAGAAAAATGTGTTGCTRTGCTTGAAGTTTGAAATTCCACAGTTGTATTTGTAATTCAATACAATCACTTTTATGTAAAAGTCTAAGCCTAATAGTCATAAATTATACCAATACTTTACAAGTCCACGTTCCCCCCACAGCCAGTGTCTGGAGTCTGAAGATGATCTTCACCAGCTGCAGTCAGACGGGGTGCCGTCAGAGGTCACAGAYTGGCTTGCGTCCACCTTCACACAGAGGATCCGGAGGCCTGTCCGCCGCTCTGATGAGAAGCCCAAGTTTCGCAGCATTGTGCACGCAGTGCAAGCTGGGATTTTCGTGGAGAGGTATGAAAACAACTAAACCAAACATCGCTTATTTGTGAGGTACACTTTATTTATTTTGTAACAATTCCTTGTATATAAATGCTTTTATGTATTTTTATTACAGAAAACAGTTAGACCAGGCTGTGAGGCATTAGCTTTCCTCCGTCCTTAAAACATCCTTCCAGAATAGACAGACTTTAGAGACTTTGTGTAAACAGCTCCTGAGTCTGCTCCTGAGCCYACTGCACAGTGTCAACACCTGAACTTTGTCTGAACTCAACAGAAACGCTGCATTTTTCTTTTTCCTCCCCAGGATGTTCAAGAGGGCCTACAGCGTGTCGATGCCAGACCAACCTGCAATGGTCGTAAACTGCCTCAGGGTAAGTCTCCCCCCTCCCCACTGATCATAAATCCCTCAGTGTGTTGTGTGTTTGCTCAGTAAATCATGAAACACACTTTCATCACTAAAACTGTCCTTTTTCTGTCTTTGGTCGCAGGATGTGGATCGTTGGAGCTTTGACGTGTTTGCTCTGAACTCTGCCAGCTCTGATCACGCGCTACAAACGCTCTTCTTTGAGCTGATCACCCGATATGAACTCAACAGCCGTTTTAAGGTTTTTTAGTTGTAGATTTTTTTTTCTTTGTATCTAGTTTCCTTTCAGCACAGTTGTGTTGTTTTGCTCTACGCAAATTGTGTTTTGGACTGAACATCCCACTGTAACATAATCATTCTCTTGTGGATTCTGGGTTCATGGGAAATGTGTGCTGTAACTCTCAGACATAATGAGGTGTTCAGATTGTTTTCACTTTGCGGGATTTGAAAGCGCACCGTTGGATTTTCCACATGAATATCCTCTGCAAATCACATGCATCATTTCAAAGACCGTCCTAACCTTGTTACCTTATTCAGGTTGTTTCATTGTTGCAACAAATCTTATTGCATGTGTAATGATTTCCTCAGATCCCTATCTCATGCATGACTGAATTCCTGTCTGCGCTGGAGAGAGGGTACCGCAAACACAACAACCCCTAYCACAACCATCTCCATGCTGCTGATGTGACTCAGACTCTGCACTGCCTGCTGCTGCGCTCTGGACTTGTGGTACAACACACTCACCTGAATAACGTTCTTATTGACCTGTAAAACTTTGCAAGTTTAATGTGGTTTAGCTCTCTTGCTGTCACCAAGTCCTATGAAATAACAAACACAATCACTTTTTCTATATAGATTAGCAGTGGTGGGCAGCACTAATCTAAATAAATATTAGTTGCACTAACCCTAAAACACTAACTCAAATATTTAGAGATTTTAGAAAAGCTCATTCTAAAGCACTAATATAATCCAGTTGACACATAAAACATTCTTCAGAGTCAATAAGAGAAAATGGGCCACATGCAAGAACATGTTCGTATTCTTATCCTAAATTTCTCTTACTTTTGTTCGTACAAAGGGTTCGTAC